CCAACGAAGCATCCTCATCTCCGCTACACCCATTTTGTGTACGTGTTGATGCTTCACCGCCCAACATTCTGTGCCATACAGCATCGCCGGCCTTATTGCCGTCCTATAAAATTTTTCCCTTGAGCTTCAGTGGCATACGGCGGTCACACAACACGCCGGATGCACTCTTCCACTTCATCCATCCAGCTTGTATTCTATGGTTGAGATCTCCATCTAATTCTCCGTTCTTTTTGCAAGATAGATCCTAGGTAACGAAAACGGTCGCTCTTTGGTATTTCTTGATCTCCGATCCTCACCCCTAACTCGTTTTGGCCTCCATTTGCACTGAACTTGCACTCCATATATTCTGTCTTTGATCGGCTTAGGCGAAGACCTTTAGATTCCAACACTTCTCTCCAAAGGTTAAGCTTTGCATTTACCCCTTCCTGAGTTTCATCTATCAACACTATATCGTCTGCGAAAAGCATACACCAAGGAATATCATCTTGAATATGTCCTGTTAACTCATCCATTACCAACGCAAAAAGGTAAGGACTTAAGGATGAGCCTTGATGTAATCCTACAGTTATGGGGAAAGCTTTCGGTTTGTCCTTCATGAGTTCTTACGGCAGTCTTTGCTCCTTCATACATATCCTTTATAGCTTGGATATATGCTACTCGTACTCCTTTCTTCTCTAAAATCCTCCAAAGAATGTCTCTTGGGACCCTATCATACGCTTTTTCCAAATCTATAAAGACCATGTGTAAATCCTTTTTCCCATCTCTATATCTTTCCATCAATCTTCGTAAGAGATAGATTGCCTCCATGGTTGAGCGCCCTGGCATGAACCCGAATTGGTTGTCCGAAACCCGTGTCTCTTGCCTCAATCTATGCTCAATGACTCTCTCCCAGAGCTTCATTGTATGACTCATTAGCTTAATACCCCTATAGTTCATGCAATTTTGTACGTCGCCCTTATTCTTGTAGATAGGCACCAAAGTGCTCTTTCGCCACTCATTTGGCATCTTCTTCGTTTTCAAAATCCTATTGAAAAGGTCAGTGAGCCATGTTATACCTGTCTCTCCCAAAACTTTCCACACTTCGATTGGTATATATCGTCTGGGCCTACTGCTTTTTCTATGCTTCATCTTCTTCAAAGCTACAACCACTTCTTCTTCCTTCCGATTCTAACGATAAAAAGAGTAGTTTCTACACTCTTCTGAGTTACTCAACTCCCCTAAAGAAGCACTCCTTTTCATGTCCTTCATTGAAAAATTATGAAAATAACCTCTCCATCTGTCTTTGAACCGCGTTCTCTGTAGCAAGAAACCTTTCCATCCTCATCCTTGATGCACCTCACTTGGTTTAGGTCCCTTGTCTTCTTTTCCCTTGCTCTAGCTAGTTTATAGATATCCAACTCTCCTTCTTTGGTATCTAGTCGCTTATACATATCGTCATAAGCCGCTAACTTAGCTTCTCTCACAGCTTTCTTCGCCTCTTGCTTCGCTTTTCTATACCTTTCACCATTTTCATCATCGGTCCTGTCCTTGTATAAGGCTTTACAACATTCCTTCTTAGCCTTCACCTTTGTTTGTACCTCCTCATTCCACCACCAAGATTCTTTTTGGTGTGAAGGCAAAGCCCTTGGACTCTCCTAATACCTCTTTTGCTACTTTTCGGATACAACTAACCATGGAATCCCACCTTTGGCTAGCTTCCCCTCTCTATCCCACACATACTGGGTGATTACTTTCTCTTTGAAAATGGCTTGTTTTTCTCCTTTTAGATTCCACCATCTAGTCCTTGGGCACTTCCAAGTCTTGTTCTTTTTTCTCACTCTTTTGATATGTACATCCATCACCAACAAGCAATGTTGATTAGCCAAGCTCTCTCCCGGTATAACTTTGCAATCCTTACAAGTTATACGATCCCCTTTCCTCATTAGAAGAAAATCTATTTGTGTTTTTGACGACCCACTCTTGTAGGTGATTGTTGGAAATGTGCTCTAAAGCCAATCATATGATGATACTTTACGGACATTTCACATGTTAAACTAATCTAGTTTACATATAAAGGGCAAAGATTATTGTTTGAGCCGTCTCATATAAATGTTATATGCTTAAACGATAAAGTCCAAGGAATATGTGATTGGGAGAATGCAATCTAATGAAGTTAGATTAATGAGACCATTCTTTCGTAGACACATCCTAAATGTTCCTGATCATAGGATTGCCAATTGGGCATTGACAGTCCGTTAAGATCAGTACGTACTGTGTCTTCTCTCAGGGAGAGTGACTAGTCTCGAGTCATTGGTGTGTGTGACATCAAGACAAGTACGTAGGTGCTCAATAGAGAATGAGTTCACTGAACGTGATCAACGAAGAGTTCTTATATTCCATGTCACATGAGAACTCATGGTTGGGATAATGCAAAGTAGTCCTTTGACCTGAGGCATCACAGTTGTCTTGTGGTTAAGTCCTTAATCTTTGATTATGTCTAATTCACCCCCTCGGGGTGTCACGGCATCGTTGGGGTTAAGCCACTTAGTCATGGAGACAAGTGAATGCGCAACAAGGGATCTCTAACCTTCAAACAGTTGAGGGAGAGATACTCTATGATATGATTTGGAATCTCTGGCCAGAGTATGAATGAGATTGTGGAATGTGTTCCAAATCACATTCAAGGAAATCATATAAGCAAACGATTCACATTGGATAGTAGACATGAACAAATAAACTATCATACCAAACAATGTGGTCAAGAGTATTAGATTAGAGAAAGACCGTATTGCATTTGTAATCCCGAACTGAATAGGTTCTCTATCCTCTTCTGATTAGCTTGGGTAACCATGACATGCTGCTAGGCGTCAACCATGGTTTGTGGAAGCCCTATACGTGTATAACCACTAAAGGGAGAATTGAAAATTGTTTCAATTCACAATCGATGTAAAATGGTTTTAATCGCCCACTGCCTCGCTAAAAGGAACCTAATGGATCGCACACCATAAAAGGTGGAGATTGAAGATTAAACGGAAATGAGTAAGAATGATTAAAATGGTTTAATCATTTATTTATGGCAAGGATTAATTAATATGTTAATTAATCAAACGAATAAGTTCGTTAAAGACTTCGGGATAGTTTTGGACCTTAAGGCCCAATGGGCTTCGAACGTCAAGCCCATTAACTTAAGTTGTATGACAATTTAATGAATAAAGATTCATTAAGGCCCAAAAGCCCAAAACTCCCTAAATGGCCGGCCATAGTGTGATGAATTAGGGTTTTGGTTATTTAGGTCACTTAAAGAAGTGACTATATAAATGACTTTATAGCCAAATATTCATTAAGATTATTAAGGGTTTATTTTGGGGGAAAATTGGTGAGAATTGTCTCTCCATTTTCTCTCTAAAGAAGCTAACACCTTGGAGGGTACATCTAGCAATCCTACTACTCCAAGGTCACTCATTTCTTCTACAATCAAACCTTGGTGAAGAGACTTAGAGGTTCCCTATTTTGGGAACTTGGAGAAACCTATTCTTCCATCCAAATCCATGGATCTAAGAAGCAAGGAATGAAGGCCCTATCTCTTTGGGTGATTAGCCTTTGCTTATGCAAAGAGGAATCTACAAAGGTATTAATTTCAACTCACTTTGTTTTGAGTTGATTATTGGTTCACCAATCTACTAGGCTTTGAATTTCATGGGTAATGTTTTGTTTTTGAATGCATACAAGCATGATTCCGCCTTTAATTTGTTAATTGCATGCTATAGATGTTATTCAAATGAACATGTTTTTCAAAATAATCCCTTCAGTGATCACATGTTCTTCTCTATTCTTAAAGAAGGTGTTGGCTAAGAAGAGATCATATGCCATTGCAAAATCCAAAACAGCTTCCCCATCCTCGTTTCTCTCCCCAAAACCATGGCCACCATGAAAACCTCCATAGTTGCCTGTCTCCCTGCCCACGTGTCCATTTAAATCTCCTCCTATAAATAACTTCTCCGTCTGGGCAATTCCTTGCACCAAGTCTCCAAGGTCTTCCCAAAATTTCTCCTTCGAACTCGTATCCAACCCTACTTGAGGTGCGTACACACTAATCACATTGATAAGTTCTTGTCCTATTACAATCTTGATTGCCATGATTCTATCTCCTACCCTCTTGACATCTACAACATCTTGTGTCAAGGTCTTGTCCACGATGATGCCAACACCGTTTCTCGTTCTATTTGTGCCCGAATACCAAAGTTTAAACCCTGAGTTTTCTAGATCCTTTGCCTTAAGACCAACCAACTTAGTTTCTTGTAGGCACATAATATTTATCCTTCTCCTCACCATAACTTCCACTACTTCCATAGATTTTCCCGTTAAGGTTCTTATATTCCACGTTCCTAAACGCATTCTACTTTCTCGAACTCTACCCTTCTGTCCTAGCTTCTTCACCCTCCCCCGTCCAATAGGATCAAAGTACTTCTTTTGTGTGTCATGTGTAAAGTTGATAGGAGCATATGCTCCCAAACAACTTTGATTGGAGTCATTCGAAAAGAAGTTTCTATGGCCCCCTTGCTCATTTAACACTGCATCCGGGTGCCGATGGAGATACAGCGACCCTTGCTCACTTATCACTGTGCTTGGGCCACATAGCGCGCCACTTACGGGTGACGCCCTAGCTTTAGCGCGATTTCGTTCTGGATTCATTTTCATAAGGATTCGACGTAACCGTGGAGTGCTGGCTGTCGACTACTTGACGCCCTCCCCCTCCTCCTTTACCCGGGCTTGGGACCGGCAATATAAGATAAACTTACACAGGCGGAGTTACATTGCTCCTTTGTGACACTGTCAAAATTTTTTGATAAACTCTGCACATTATGTAGCTCCTGCAATCTGCATGCTCATGAGTGTTTAAATATCGGTCTTGTGGTAGCTCGTGGTTTTTATCCCTTCCCAATGTAGAGATATATGCACCATTTGTGGACACTCCCAGACTTTCATATTCAGGAGACTGATACATTAAGATATGTGTTCAGGAAGCAGTGGAAAAGCTCTCTGTTATGCCCTGATGGAGACTGTCCATTGTGTTTGTATCCTTTGGTCCCAGAAGATGAGCAGAAAAATGCTTTGCCATTTATGAAGTTGATGTCTTGTTTCCATTGCTTCCACAGGTAACGCAGTCTCTAAATATATATATATATATATATATATATATATATATATATATATATATATATTGGTGTTAGATTACATTTAAGGGTTTTGATTTTAAATTGTGTTCTCCTTTTTTTGTTTTAAAATGTGGCAGTGAGTGCATTACTAGGTGGTGGAGTTGGGTTCAAAAAGAAGAAAAATGAAATACTAGTGATTCATCAAGTGCACATCTGCGTCAAGACTTGAGAAACCATAAAGGTATACTTGAGTCACAGTTGTTTGGTAGTAGGTTGAATTCTAGAGCTTGAGGAGATAATTGGGCAATTTACTTCAACTTTATATGGGATTCTTGTGATATGGTTGGTTTTACAAAAAGAAGCCTTACCAAAAATAAAATGTACTTATAAAAGAGCATCAAGAGAATATTTAATGCAAAATACAAGCTTAAGAATATGTAAACATCAAGATATGGATAGAATAAGTTGAGTGAGTCCATAGCTGTGTAATTGATTGGATGAACTTAGGTCCTACATCTCAAAAATTAATGTCTGATCTATCAACTGACACATATGTTCTTAACTTGGATCTGCATAAGAAAACATATAGTTGTAACAACCCACGTCCCTTAAAAGAAGGGGAAGAAGGTGTTGTGTGGACAGTATGCATTCTCATGTTGATGTTTCAAACTTTCAAAGTAGCATGATTCGTAAGGATTACTTGAGAATTGGGATAGGTTATCTGGAAGAGGCTTATGGAAGGCTTTTGTATTTATTATTTCGTAGTTTGTTATTATTACAGTTTACATTCATGACTGGCAAGATTTTTGTAATGTAGGCATAAGCTGAAGCATGTTCTTGATAAAAGTATGTGGGATCCCAGAATGCCCATGTAGGTGGGCGTTGAATTTTGGATTAGTTGACTGCTAATGAGTAATTAGTAGGTTCAGATCAGGGAAGAATAGTTTCATTTGTGAATTGGTGGATACAGAGAAGGGATATGCTTATGTTAATTGGGTGATTGGGAATCAGTTGTGGCAATTTATACATTACTGTATTTGTACTTGTAGACTTTCTGCCTTTGTGAATGACTACCCTCCTGGTTTGTTTGGTTGCTCAAGTGGTCTCCACAAAGGAGTTCGTCCTCTTTCAGTTCTGTTTATCTAGTCATGGTGGTGCTTAGCTGGTTGATCCATAGCGCACCTTAGAGGGTGGTTCTCTAGTACTGCAAGATCTATTCAGATTTCACATGCGTCATTAAAAGATGATACAATTTTTCAATTGTGCAGATTGGGAAAAATAATGTATTTGAGGTATCTTATTTTATGAGTCATAGATGTATTGGGTCTAAGGTTTAGATGGATAAGACTGAAATCTTCAAAAGAAAACTAGGCCTTTTAGCAAAATGGTTATGACATTGTCATAACTCCTCACTTTGGTCCTTGAGATTTAAAATCGTTAGAAGTGGTCCTAGAATTGTCAATTGTCCCATTTTGGTCCCTCAATGAAAATCTGCATTGAAATGAAGAAACCACTAGTTCAAAGGGAGGGGTTGATTTGACAAAAATACTCTCTATTTAGCAAGATTTCTCACAGAAGGGCCAAAATGATTGACGGTTGACAATCTCATGGACCACTTCTTTTGGTAAATCTCATGAACCAAAGTGAGAAGTTGTGTCAATCTCATTGACCAGCAGGCAGCCCCTGTCCTCTAGTGAAAGATACTCCTGGTACCTCAGAAACCTATGATACTCTGCTTCTTCCTTCCCTAATGTTCGTTCCCTTGGATAAAAAGCCTAAAAACTATTCCAGACTCCAGTTGCACAAGATATTTCTGATTTCTGCTGATTGGGAGTACAGAGTTAGCTCTCTGCTTCTTTACATAAACAGGTTCGTTTTTGGTCTTTCATTTGAATATGGAAAGGATAGAGAAGTGTGTGGGAGGAAAGAAAACTTAAGGAGAACCTTAATGTTTTATCTAGGTTATCTATGTAATATGTCTGTTTTGATTCCAGTCATGGAAAATTTTACGAGAGGCTTTCTTCAGGTGAGTTGGCTAACGAACCTGAATTTCACTTGGTTGGTTGAGATAACTTGTGTTTCCCTTACCAATTATTATGTGTAACTGTAGAGGAATCAATTATGGACTTGTTTGTTGGCTTGTAAATATGGAAGTTTTTTGGCGGCTGAAGCACACAGGAAGTGACGGCGACTCATGTGTGGACTTGTGGAGAAGTGTCTGAAAGGATTTGGAGGTTTATATAGAATATTTGGCCGGTATGCAAGGGAAGTGATATTGACTTTGCATCCAAGTTTGTTTCTGGTAGGATGCTTTGCGTTGTATGGGATAAAATTGCCCTGATAGGGACTCTTTCGGTCAGATTGGGGGTACGGTTTAGTTGAATCTTGCTTTTGTTAGAAGTTCTAGTGAGCAGAGATTGAAATTGTTGATAGTTTCTTGGAAGCTCTATATGGTTTTAGAGTTGGTGGTTTGAAATTGTTGATAGTTTCTTGGAAGCTCTATATGGTTTTAGAGTTGGTGGTGAGTGTGGACGCTCTGAAATGCACTTAATGAAGTTTTTGATGTGCGCTCTTTTCGTTGAGATTTATTGGATAAAATCTATTGTACTTTTGCATGGAAGCGGTTCTAGTGTGCAGATCCTCCGAGGGTGGTGTTTTCTTGTGGATAAGTTCTTCAAGGAGGATTCTTTCCTCAAAAACTTGAGAAAGAAAAACAGATTCAGATTTGTGTGGCCAACAGGATGAGGTTAGTGTTGGAGCTTCGCAGCTTCGATTTCTAATATGTATGGGCAGTGGTATGGGAGATTTGTAAGACAGGAGAATCGGGTTACTGGTATTGTCCACTCTTAAAGTCCCCAAAAATCGTCTGGCCCAAGTATTATAGTTTTCCCGTTGTTGTGGTAGGCACAGGGGTGGTGCCTTTGGTGGTGTTCAACACTCGTGCACTTAAGGGTGTGCTTGTTGCATGCTTTTGTGTAGATTAAGGATAGCTGACTGTCCTCTTTTTTTTATCCTATGATAGGTTTTCTTTCTTCTATTATTTATTTTTTTTAACTATTATTATTTATTTATTTATTTAGTTAAATATTCTGTCACGTATTTATAGGCCACGTCACCTGTGAAGCTCTCTTAGTAAACTTTTTGGTTTTTAAGAAAATATAATTCCTAAATGTGATAGAACCATTTGCATTGTGTCTTTTTTGTATAGGTTGAGCCAAACATGGATGTTAATAAAATTACATGTCATGCGTAACATTGTACAGTATTATATTAATTTCTAAATAATGATGATTTGTTGTTAGAAAAATGTGGAGCTTCGGAAGAAAGTATGGGAAACTGCCCCGTCTGCCGTAAAGTTTTTCATACTCAGGACTTCGAGTACGTGCTCCACTTTTAGTTAGCATTCCCGACGAAGAAGTCATTGATTCTTTCAATCGGGATTCATATTGAAAATAATCAGAAATCTCGGAATTCTAATCGTAAAAGTAGCTTTCGATTATTTCAAATTAATTTAATTGAAATCAACACAAATTAAATACAAATAGATAAAGCAAAGAAATAGAATTGGGATACTATATAATATACATTATCACTATATATATTATATATACGTAATTAAATCGATTTCTATATATATAGAAAAGGAATATGATGATACTATTGTAGATTGATCTATATTAATCTATATTAAATTAACCTGCATTACAATTAAATTTTTGAATTCCATTAAATAACTTATTAATTAATAATATAATAACTTATTAATTTAGAATATCTTTATATAAACTAAAATATCTTTATATAAACTAAAATCTTAATATATTAGAATTTAGAATATATTAGAATATAAAATATATTTATAATATATAAATATTTATTATTTTATATTTTATATAATTATATATATATATATATATATATTATTTATATATATTTATTATTTATATTTGTTATTAAAATTTTTAAAAATTTACATTTTTAAAATTTACATATTAATTATTTATTATATAATTCCTTTTGAGAATTCACATATTCTTTTTAATGGATAATGTAATGAGCCTATCCTCTCTTCTATATTCATATTCGAAAATATATAAACTGATCACTAATCCAAGAACATAATATTCGGAGGACTCTTCTGACACATTTCAGTTGATCGACTAATTCGAATTGTTTTGTTCCGAAGCAAAGATATCCACAGGGCGGTTCATCCTATTCATATATTCACGACCAATAAGTAATGGATTCTCTTTCGGATAGGCCCTGAAAGGAGAAGGAATGCTGGAATGCCAACAGGCGTCTATTATTGAATTCAATTCACCCGACCCGATAGTACCCCATTTTTGGAACATCCAGTGCCAAAGTCACTGAATGGGTAAGTCGCCAATCCCTAAAACGGACTATGTAATGTACTTTATTTGCTGGATTACGGGTGGGCATTTTACCAGAGGGCCGGAACGAGTTATGATAGAATACGTCTTGTTTATCTCGACGAAATGGGCGGAATGGCTATCGCAATTCCAAAATATTCACGACTTTCAATATCTTATCAATGGCTTCTCTTGCATTACCGGGCATGAGCGGTTTTGTTGCCGAATTGTTAGTTTTTTTTTTTAATACTTACTAGTAAAAAATATCTTTTAATGACAAAAATATTAATAACTTTTGTAATGGCAATTGGAATGATATTAACTCCTATTAATTCATTATCTATGTTACGCCAGATGTTCTATGGATACAAGCTTTTTAATTCCCTAAACTCTTATTTTTTTTATTTTGGACCGCGAGAATTATTTGTTTCGATCTCTATCCTTTTACCTGTAATAGGTATTGGTGTTTAACCCGATTTCGTTTTATCATTATCAGTTGACAAGGTCGAAGCTATTATATCCAATTATATTTTTCGATAGTTTTTGTGAGTAAACCAAAAAATGAAATTGAAATCCCATGATTTTAAAAAATGGTTGATTGTACAATAATAAAAGGAGTCTTTTATATTCTTTTAAGTAAAATAAATAAATTGGAATTCTATTATAACTAGATATCTTTTGAATTTGTGAGAACCATTTGAATCAAGTAATGGAAATGATTCAAATGGTTTTGTGAACAATGTGGATGTCATTTGAAAATGAGTAGTTTTGATAGAATCGAACTTTCGATTGATCCCGGTACCTGGGATCCTATGAACGAAGACATGGTCTCTCTGGATCCCATTGAATTTCATTCGAAGGAGGAACTTTATAAAAGATCGTATTGATTCTTATAAAAAAATACATGGTTAATTGAGGCTGTTCAAACAGGCATAGGTCAACTAAATGGTATTCCCGTAGCAATTGGTGTTATGGATTTTCAGTTTATGGGTGGTAGTATGGGATCTGCAGTGGGTGAAAAAATCACACGTTTGGGCGAGTATGCTACCAATCAATTTTTACCTCTTATTCTAGTGTGCTTCCGGAGGAGCACGCATGCAAGAAGGAAGCTTGAGCTTGATGCAGATGGCTAAAATATCTTCCACTTTATATGATTATCAATTAAATAAAAAAGTTATTTTATGTAGCAATCCTTACATCCCCTACCACAGGCAGGGTGACGGCTAGTTTTGGTATGTTGGGAGATATCATTATTGCCGAACCCAATGCTTATATTGCATTTGCAGGTAAAAGAGTAATTGAACAAAACATTGAATAAGACAGTACCTGAGGATTCACAAGTGGCTGAATATTTATTCCATAAGGGCTTATTCGATCCAATCGTACCACGTAATCCTTTAAAGGGCGTTCTGAGTGAGTTATTTCGGCTACATGCTTTCTTTCCTTTAAATGAAAATTAGATTAGAGCCTTAGAGTCTTAATTTAATATTTAATAAGAGTATTAATTTAATAAAACTTCATAAATTTTTTTTGTGTGGTGATCAAGTGGTTATTTAATTTATAGGAATCAAAGTCAAAATCCATATTACTCGTACTATTACTCAACATAAAATAAGAGCTTTGGTTTCGGCTCATCAAGATAGAGGTAGACAAAAGAGAGATTTTCGTCGGTTGTGGATCACTCGGATAAATGCAGTAATTTGCGAGAATAAAGTATACTTTAGTTATAGTAAATTTATACACAATTTGTACAAGAGACAGTTACTTCTTAATCGTAAAATACTTGCACAAATAGCTATATTAAATAAGAGTTGTCTTTATATGATTTCCAATGAGATCATAAAATAAAGAGATTGGAAGGAAACCGTTGGAATAGTTTAAATGGAATTCCCTGGAGAATGAACTCTGGGAAGGTAGAGTAGAAATTAGTATGATAAAGTCATCAAAATGAAGAAAGCCGTTAAATAAAAAATATTTATTCCTCTTCTCCCATTTTTTTTTCTTACGACAGGACATTTCAATTTTACGACTTTTCGAACAAAAAAAAAAAAAACATCAATCCGTATTTGAGTTTGAATTGGAATTTTATTTTGATTCAATTCAATTGAAGAGTCAACCTATTTTTTTTTCTGGTTTTAAGACCAGCAGCTCTAGCGGTTAACTCACTTCTTTCAAATTGTTTCTCAGTTTCTGTTATGTCACTGCAATTCTACCCCGCCATTTAATTGTGGTGTTGCTACCCCACCCATTATCAGAAAGTATAGTGCATATATAATTGATAAAGGTTCTGTCGTGATTCATTCAGGTTGTGTCGAGTCATTTTACTTCATGCGGATGCTGAACTCTTACTTTGAAATGCATGAAGAACAGAAACATAATTTATGGCCATTTGAAAGTTTTGAATAATTGCATGTGTCCAGGTGAAGATGGTAGTAGAACGTGAATGTCCCAAGGCAAATATTTGAGGCCCGATTGAAGTTACAGCAAGAAAACAGTGGTTTAATCGAACCTAAAAAAGATCTTGTCGTGTTGCCTGGTATGGTGCTTCCAGTCTCACCATCAGTCTCCGTGGCCGACAATGAATCTACTGAACAGCAACAAAGAGAGCCCCCCTCACCTCAGAAATGCATTCTGGTGGTTCCTCGGGTAGGCTGAATACCCATGAGCAGAGGAGTTCACGCTCAAAGAAGCCGAGAGTACGTAATTCACGACGACCTATCGAACAGTGGATACAGAGAGAATGAAAGGGCAGAGTGAGCACTTGATATGACTCTTGAGGGAGTTTTCTGTTTCCCTGAAGTATTCATATGTTAGCCAAGGATGACCAAATTGTAAAAGAAAAGGAAGAAATAAAGAAAGAAAAACAGAGGGAGAGACAAAATAAAATCGAAATACCTGGCTGTTCTCTATGTACGTTAATCGTCATTTTTATCGTCTCTGTACGGAAATGCTGAGTTTTTGTGTGTAAGTTCACTCAAATTTGGGTGTGAAATTTCAAGGTATAAAAGTACAGTTTCTCTCCCTGTGAGAGCTTTTCTCTCCTATGTGAGAGGCTTTTTTACCGCCGTATGAGAGCTTTTCGGATTGGGTACCACCTCTACTTATTGCATTTTGTCGCTAATCTTTGGGAGGGTGTGTAAGCTTTAGCTCGGGTATCCGCACCACCACCCTTGTTCACCCTTGTTGGTCACTCCTGTTGCTCACCCTTGTCAGCGATGTTATTTGTGGGTTCTTTCTACCGCATGCCTTTTCAATCTCATGGCTGCTATCCCGGTGTTGGTCTTTGGAGGATGATGTGACCAATGTCCTCACCAATTATGGGTTATCTTATGGTCTGATCTTAGGTGATCGTGGAGGGTGGTTGATCATGACGATTGTGATGTGGTTCTCTGGTGGCAGCGACGGCAACGGCGACATTGACGTCGTATGCAGCTCCAGGAAGCCTAGCTATCTAGGGTTTTTTCTGTGCTTTGTTTGTATGTGTTGATCTCCAAGGTTGGTATTGGGCCTTTGTATTTTGTGTGTTGTGGCCCTTTTTATTTTGATGTGATTATTTGGTTTTGGACCTTTGTTGTACTTGTCTCTCTTTTTTTTTTTTTTTTTTTTTTTTTAGTACATCGATATTTTTACACTAAGAGAAAATAGAGTTTGGCTAAGCTACACAAAAAGAAACCTAATTTGGTATTGACTTCACCATTCTCAAGATTTGAGTCTAAAACCTCTTACGCCCCATGACCCTTTTACATCCTTGTTCTTTCTCTCAAGTCTCAAGTCTCACAAAAATAAAAAGGGAATAAACATAGACGAATAATACTTGACTATTCAAATAATGAGCGATTCCTTCTCAAAATATTTCGTTGTCGATTCATAGAATTTCGTGCTTATGATCAGAATTTTTCATATTATAAATCACTATGTAAAGATCTATCTCTGAAAAAAAAAATCTATAAAATATGAAATCTTTATAAAAACTTATCGTCGAAACCTGTAAATATCACAAGTTATCCATTTATTTTTCCATAAAAAGCCATCTTGTTCCGACTTCAGCAAAGCCGCAATGTTAGGTCTAGGAGAAGTTCATACTATGGACTTAATGTATGGTCTTCGACCAAATTTTTTTTGAGTGTGCATGTGACATGGTCCTTTGGGCCTCGTTTGGTAGACCGGATAAGATGGGTTATTTTCAATTAAATTAGACTTATAACCCAACCAATGTTTGGTGAGAAAAATTGTATCACGGACTGGATTTTCTACAAATCCGAAAAAAGGGAAAATATGATGGGTTATGTAACCCAACCACACACATGAGTTATGTAACCCATCCCTGCTAATTCAATTATATCCCTAAGGCTCAATCCCATCCAGCCCACCAAACGGACCCTTAATGTTACCGATTAACGTATTATGTTATTGACTGATAGTAGTTCAGATTCTAAGATACAATATTAAGTAGTAAAAACAACGTCTGGATGCATTGTTCTTTGATGGAAGGATGGAGATTGTACTCCAAATTAATTTTAAACTTTTTTCTAACTCCTTTTTTTTTTTTTTTTTTTTTTTTTTTTCTATAGCATCAAATTTTGTGTAACTTTATAAACCAAGTGTTCATTCTTTTCTTATTGGTACCAAACTAAAAACAAATACGAGTCCTTATGTAAAGTTTACGACATACCCCATTACCAATTAGATGTTGACATTTCATATAGTGTAGGTGTTTCCTTAATCTTTATATTAACATTCTAATAAAAAATTAACATCAACAATTCAGAATCATCAAACTATTGTACAACACATGAATCACATCAATGAAACCAGATTAATTTATTTAAATTTTGAAATCTTGATTTAATACTTATAGACTCCTCCGGAAGATGTAACTTTTGACCTGTATTACTATGAACAACTTTACAAAAATGGCTGCAAGCTGCCGGGGACCAAATCTCAAGAACCAATTCATATTAGTGATTGCATTTTTCTTTGCTTTATCTAATTTTCTGTGGAAACACATCCACCGATTGTTGCAGTTTTTCTTTGCTGCAAAATCTTCTCTGCTGGCCTACAAACAGTTTTCAAGGTCCGCCCTTGAATTAATGCTAGCATGCAAAGGAAGTATGAAACAATGACTTAATAATTGATAAGCACTAAAAGGTATTCTTGTGTATGTATGTATTATATGCCATGTATTGTGGAAACAAAATTGTCAAAGTTTTCAAACAAAAGGTTAGTGAACTAATTGAAGGACTAGTAGTCAAAGCTTTACATGGAACTCTATTAATTGCCGTCAATTTGTTGAACAAAATTATGAAATAACACTATTTTGGTGATGGGATATGTTGGGATCTTCGAAACCCAATGTTGTCACAAAGAATGACACAAACCGTTTTATTTTAGGAACTTTAACGAAAAGCTCTCGGTACTGTTCATTTTAACAAAAAAATCATATTTTACACTAAAAAGTCAATCATGGTACTATTCATTTTACCATTTATTTTGTCCTTATCGTTAAAACTCAAAGTTTTTAAGCTCTTTTCATTAGTTTTCCTTTTTATTTTTACCAAATCCTTACCTTTAGGTCTTTTGCCTTTTTTTATTTAATTTGAACATATTATATTACTTCCCCTTGTCACGTACTTGAATTTTCTATTAAAGTTAAGTATACTGTAAGATTCGATAATACAAATAGTATTGGCTAACATAACCACATTTAAAAATGTACAATTTAATTGCATTAGAAAGAAAAAAAAAAAACTATTCTACAGTCTCACTTATTTGAGAAGTTATTTCTTTTCATGATTATTGCTTAGTTAGTTCATAATTTGGCATAATTTATACATGCAGATCTGCCTTGAGTGCATGAACAAGCTTGGCATCAGCCAACTTTTTCTTGATTTCATTAACGTCAACAAAACCCTTGTTTCACATTTTTAGTCACATACATATTTAAATGAGCGTGAGTGTGATATATATATATATATATATATATGAATCATGTAGTTTGAGTTTGATATTTATAAAATTACTACTGCGCTTGTGTGAATTCAATACATTAGTATCATACTTATGAGTTGAATATATTGAACATATATCACACTCAAAATTTTAAACCCTATTTAAGATTATGACTCATATATGAATTTAATATACTGATTGATTTTACACTCACTTTTTTGGCCTAATGTAGCCGGCCTAAGTAGGTATATTTTGCTAATGAATACATAAACAACGGAAGTCATAAAGAAGTATCCATGTAGTGCCAAAGTACCATTTTCTAGTCTAAGTACGAACTAAAATTACTCTCCAACTTGGACGTACTTTGATGGCCAGGCAATTGTACTAGTGTTTAGATCCGATTTTACACTATCGGCTCGTGCAATCAAGGCCGTTGATGAACATAGTTCTCAACCGTTGGATGGCATAATTGTTAAGATAATTGGAGGATATATTGTGGTTTTAATCATGATATTATCTTTTAATGAAGAATTATCTTGATATTTTCTTGTACAAGATGAGGTGCAAATTATATCTTCAACTTGAAAGTGAGCAGTACAGTTCAATTTGATTTGGGGTTCTTGGAATTTAAACGTGTGGCGGATTAGAGCATCATAGTATTTTATCAAGAGTCGTAATACATTGCGGCATTGGTTGGGAAAATGGATATTGGTTGGCAGAGAGATTAATGCATTATGCATTCATAAAGATAAGGATGCCAAATTGGAGTTGGTCAGCCACGTGTGCTTGGTTGCATGAAAAAGAAATTGATGACCTGGACGTGTGCTTGGATTTGGTCAACCATGCATGCTATAGTCATTATCATTTTTGGTTAATGTTCTTTGTCACTTGGAAGTTGCTGGTAGGATTGGGTTTTTTGGTTTGTTATTATCCATTTAAAAGTAGGTGATAAATGATGGATAAATGTTGTTATACATGTGGCTCGGAATTGATCAAGATTGTCTGGTGAGATGTGTGCATCAAATGAAGTTTTGATAAGAAGCCTAGATGGGATAGGATTTTGGTGGTGATGTGATAAGCGTATATAGGCTTTTTATTTGTTTGAAAATGACGAATAGTCGTACGAAGGATAAATGACATGCGGATCAGTCTTTCTTCCAAGAGGTTGAGTTGCAGTTGAATTCTATAAGATACCATCAGGCTGCGAGCAAATATGCAGCCACTATAAATACAAGAGGTCGTGGAACAAAAAATGGACCTCCAATTCAACACACAAACTGCCATGCACAAACCCTCGCTCTACGCGAAACCTCTGAAACATCTCGAGATTTTTATTTTCTTTTTCGCCAATACATCTTCAGTTTGGATAAACAACACTGTGAAGGCAATTGGAAAACATCTTCAGTTTGGATAAACAGCACTGCGACGAGGCCGACTGGCTATCTATCCAAGTTTCGGTCGAGAAGGATTTTCGAATCCTTATTGGCAGAGGTTATCTCATTAGCCTTTTTGGCGAAGTAAGGTGTTACAAGTTATTACATTCGGCACATTGAAAGCCAAATTTGATATTGAACTTCGCAAAACTAGCAGCCTTGTCTTTAAGCTCTAGAACCCAAAGGCCGAGAGTGTTCTTTCCTCGACCGCAGTCGCGAGATTCAAAAGTCAGTAGTGCACCCAATGCAACATCAACAAATTTTACTCCTCGGCCGAGCTCGGCCAATGAGTTGGCACGCTCGCATACAACCGAAGGACGTAATTAGCTCATTAGTTACTCAGCATGCGCGCCGCGTAGGCTTGGTAGTTTTTAGGGTCAACATTTTGGCATGCCCAGTGGGACACAGTGCTAAAACTACGGAGTTCATTTGATACATCAAGATCTCAGTGAAGGTGATATTTGGCGCCTATTAAAGGAAAATGTTGAGGAGAAAACAAAACTCCTTGATAAGTACTAAAAAAGGCTACACGCCGGGGGGCAATTTTTCACTTCGGTCATAATCAAAATTCGGCCTCAGGACATTGTCGAGATGGCCAAAGAACTTAGGCCACTTGTTGTTTCGGTTGAGACTGAAAGTATGGTAGGCCTAGAAGAAAAAATTCAAGTCTTTAAGCCACAAATCGACTTAGAAAATGATTCGTCAGAAAAGTGCTTCAATGACGAACAAGGCCGAGACATTGGCCTAGCCCAAGAAACCACGCCAATTGATATGATTATTGGCGATAAGGCCGATATAGAGAAATTCCATTCGGCCAAGTTATTTGAGTTAGAAGCCGAAATTAACAACGTAATTATGCCCAATGGGTATAATAAGTTTCCAACACATTTGGCGGCCGATGATAGGAAATTTTTCGTCAAGCCAAACATGTTTGGAAATGATCTTTTAGTTGGCCTTGAAAAAACTCAAAGTGAAACTTTTGATATAAAAAGATCTTGGCTGGGAATAAAGCATCGTTGGCCTCCTCCTGATTATGGTTCGGCCACTTTTCTTTTCGTTTGCTAAAAATATATATATGACAAATAAATTGTTGATGCACAAAACCGAAGGTCTTGGAACAACGTAAATCCGACCATGAATCTGCAAGAAATGTAAAGAACACAAGATGTATCATGG